CAGGCATGGTGTGTGTGTGTGAAATTTAAAGGATGTTTTCACTTCTGCAGAATCACTCACATAAATGTATAGATTGTAATCTGAGATCATTTGCTGATATAAAAAAAATATTGGCAATACTTTAGACTAGATAATTTAAAAATATCATTGTGACATACATGTTACTATTATACATATAGTTTTAAAAACAACAGTACAGGAGTAGACATTCACATGACTGAATCTTAAGATATTTTAAAAGTTTAAGCAAACGTTCATGTGTGTTAAAGAAAGCAGCACAATATGAAACAGCATATTTAATTAGTGCACTGAAATCATAAAGCTAAATAACCTGGCTACATAAGACGATCCTTTAGATGTGAAAGAGATGGAGCTCAACACCAAGTCTTGATTCTGGTCACAAGATATAAATCATCAATTGTTGGAACCATGCTGTAAATCCCTAGCTTGTATTTGTGGTTCACTAAAGCAGTGGTCCCAACTCTGGTCCTTGAGGAACACCATCCTGCATGTTTTAGTTGTTTCCCTGCTGCGACACATCTGATTTTAATAAATGTGTGATTTACAGTCTTCTGCAGAACTTGAAGTAAATAAATCACTGAATCAGTTGTGGTGGAGCAGGGAAACCACTAAAACATGCAGGATAGTGGTCCTTGAGGACCAGGGTTGAGAACCACTGCACCAAAGGGTAGATATGAATGTAAATTGGATTAAAATTAAAGTATTTAGTATTTTGACTTTTTAATGAGATCTAAGATCCCTTGAATTAACTGTCTTAAAATGGTCTGTTCAGCCATCTTTAAGAAAGTGTTGACCAGAGTGGAAATACAGAGCGGTTGTGACAGACTCTGAGGTTTGTTGTGACCTTTCCATACATTTCCACTTTCCCTTTCCTCTTTAAAACATCACGGAAGGATAGGAGGCTCCACCCGTTACATCAGTGAAGGAGATGAGAGAAAAATGGAGACAAAGTCAAAGTGGGAACAAGGACTTAATGGTTTCATCAATAAACCATTGAATGTTTGTGCAATATTCTAAAAAGCTGCAGAAACTCATTTTCTCTTTTTCATTATGGAGGAGGAAAATCCAGTGGTAGTGAGATTAGCAGAATTGGTGTTTAAACCTTCACTTTGCTTCTAGAGAAGGTTTCCCCTTATCCCTGCCTCTTTTGTTCTCACCTCTTCTGGCCCATCCATTAATTCAGGACAAAGGCTTACTGACTTCCTGTCTGGTTCTTCAGGACGCAAAATCCAAACAATTTAGAAAACTTTTTTTTTTACAATCTCACACACACACACAAATAAAAATATCTTTCCTGACCCAGCAACAGGACATTTTACTGTAGGATAATGTAAAAATGGGGCTTTTGAAGAGAACAAACAACACAACTTCATCTTTTGGAGCAAATTTAGATAAATGAGGAGCTAGATGAGGGAGTTGTAGTATTTATGTTTGTGTCTGCTTCAGGTCGCTGTGCACCTGCAGCCAGTAAGTAGAGCAAAGTAAGAGTAATGTGTTCGGATCCAAAGATGATGAAGGGTCTTGTAAATATGAGCTCCCACTGAACAAACCAAGCTGTTGCATTCTGCAACAGTTCTACCCACCTGTCCTGGTTTAAAACATCCACCCGGAGTTATCAGAGATGCTCCAAATCTGCCGTAAATCAGCTGCAATGTTGTCAAACCTCTAACATTTATAGCCTTGGTTCTACAAAGCAGCTGACAAGGTGACAAATCTTTGGTGCAGAGATCAAAGCAAAGTGTTGGAAAGCAAATATGTGATATTCTACATCATCCTGTTGAATCACATTCATTTGAAAAGCCAGACTGAGCACACCAGAGGTCTTGCTGTTTGCCCTTTCTGGCACGCACATCTCCGTAGGTGTTCAGCAAGAATCAAACCACTGCCAAGCTGCCCCGAGGTTCAGCCCACACACCCAGCGTTCAGGTGGACCTCTCCTGGTGTCAGCATCAATAACGACCAGCAGCACAAAAGATGAGAATTAAGAATGAAATGAAGAATAATGAATTTGAAGGCACTCTGTGGATGTGAGACTCCTGCTAAACCTCAAAAGGAGCAAAAATTAAGAAAAAATGACCCAATTTATGTATTCCCTTACAGCGAGGGAGATAATTATTTGCTGATTTAGAAAGTCATTTAAAAATGAATAATTATTCTCTCATTTTTATTGTACTTCCATAGTAATAAACAAAGAATCAACTGAAAATCAAGAAAAAACATGCATTAAATAAAATGTACTGATTCATAAATCATAGATTTAATAAGCATTTGACTCCCTGCAACCCGGTCAGAACTCTGACTCCAACTCTTTGATCATGTGCACATGTGGCACACAGATTACAACCAGATTTTAATAATCTTATTCTGTTGTCATGTAATCATTTGAAAATAAAAATTAAAAATAAATTGGATTGACCACCATGAACCATTACATCAGCATCTGATCACATAGTTTTAACCCAGTACACGTGAATAAATATATTTTATTAGGTGAAAGATTAACAGAAATATGACAACCTTTTTAAAGTTGATTGATTCAAATTTTGTCATTTGGCTTATTAGTTTTAGGGGTTTAAGGGGAGTGGTGGCGCAGAGGTTAGAGACTGTGGGCCCGTGATCAGAAGATCGCTGGTTCAAGCCCCAGTACCAACAACATCAAAAATGTGGGTGGGGTAGGCGAAGCAGCCACACCTGCACCCTCACAGAGTGGTCCCACTCTGGGCCCTTGAGCAAGGCCCTTAACCCCCACCACCTGCTCCTCTGGGTGTCCTAGATAGCAGCTCTCTGCTCCACACAGAGGGCTGTGGTAGCTCGGTGGTCTGTGGTTGCGTCAGGAAGTGCATCCGGCATAAAAATAACTGCCATGTCTTTGTGCGACTTAGTTCGCTGTGGCGACCCCTAATGCAAGGAGCAGCCGAAAGAAGAAGAAGGAAAAAAGTTTTAAAGCCTTTTTACTTAATATTACATAAATATGGTCCAAAGCATAATGTGGTTCAAGTTCATTTTATTTTAATTAAATTAATTTGCAACTAATCTTATTTTAGGTGGTGTTACGTCTTGAGATTCCTGATAATTCATTTTTAAATATACATGTTAGCTTAAAAATGCTCTGCAGAGTTACTGAATATTAGTGCATCAATAAAGATTACAAAAACAATCTTGTCACATCTTGTCCTATATCAGGACACAATTTAAGACATCAAAATCTCCACCAGCAAGCACATTTATAGACACATTACATATGCATTTGACGGCAAGACGTTGAGATTTGTCCATGAAGCACTTCCAGATAGTCCATAGTCCTGATAAGATGTTGGTGTCAGCCTTGAGTCCTGCTGGTACTTTCAATCTCAAAATGGCCAGATTTGTGGACATTCCACTGGTCGGTGCCTATGAGCCCCTAACATGTTGGTGAGTCCCAGAAGCCGCAGGTGGCCTGCGATTCTCACAAATCGCTTCCATCTTACGGTTTAGCTCGTAAATCAGCTGATTTTGAGTACTCACAAACCAAACCTTCACACGGACTCTGCAGTTTTGCCATGGCCGAAACTGCTGTCGCTGTCTTCTTTAATAGCTGCTAACATAAGAATCTGCCAATACCAAAAAGCAGGAATCCTGCTACCATGGCTCCAAATATATAAACATCTTTGGCGTCCTCCTGAGACAATACGGAAAGACACATCAGCTCCCAAACTTCTCACGGATCCATGACATATCCTGCCACGTGCATCTCAACGGGGCATGAGGGCTCTCCAGAACCTTGTCGCTTTGTTGAAAATACTTTATTGATTGCATTGAAAGTCCAGCTGACCAGATCCATGACAGCGGTTTTAGTTTTGGAAAATGTGTAAAATAGGAGCTCCGATACACAGACAGAGAGCAAAAAATAAATAAAAATAAAGGCAGGAGGAGGAGAAAAAGTGTCTGCCTTGCACGAGAGCGAGTGAGGAAAAAGAAAAGTCATCCGTCCCTTTAGGAATATTCTTTCATGTTTTGGCATTCTTGTGTTTATCACAATTTATTAATCACATTCCTATCCAGACAGATCCATATATTTATATGAAAAGTCTGGGACGAATGGCTTTGTTTGTTCTTTTAAAAGACTCATCAAACTCAGCCATGCTTGCTCAATCCCAGATGCATGAATGGAATTAGACAGATGTGAAACTCACTAGTTGAACCACACATACCCCTCATGTGAATCGTCTTAGTCTAGCCCAGCTTCAACCACAGGAGCACATCTGTGCAAACTGGACAAAAGGGGAGCACTACACCCAAAATACTTTTACCTTTTGATCATGTATTTAGTTTTTCTATGAAAGCCTCCTTCACTGATCATGTAAGGTATGCTTCCTCTTTATTCTTGATTGTCACTCCCAGCCCATCCATCCTTCCTCTCTGGACAGACAATAATAGGTAAGGTACGAAGTGATGGATGAGTATGGAGGAAAAAAAAAACTTTCTACTGTTTCATTTTCTCCACCTGTGAGTTGTGAAGGAAATGAGATAAAAACAGGCAGAATCACATGGTAGTCTTGAAGGGGGGAAATGAGGGGATGATCAGAGTAAAACTTCATGACAGCAGCCTCATCAGTGATGTCTCATTGAGCAGGGATGTCATCACACACGTACTGTTGATCGGCGAAAAGAATAATTCACACATTGGGGGGGACTCCAGACCACAAGGTGCTGAAGTCTCCCTCATTGATTATCTGATCTGCCTGTCTTTGATCATTTCTTCATGCCTTACTTGTATTTTTAATGTGTCAGACTCTAAGTTTCACTAACCCCACATATCTTTCAAGAGAAATCTGAGGCTGCATTCCTCAGCCTTCCAGGTCGACTGTACAGCGTCCCTGTTGTAGTACCTTCTATCTCACCTTTTCACCACCGTCCCCCACCCTCCCCTTCTCTCCCCCTCTGCTTACCACGTGTTTTCCGCCATCCCTCACCCCCATTCCCACCCCCTTTTCCAACAGAAGCTCAGAGTAAGCCGTACTACTCCGATTATTCCCCAACCCGGCTGCTCATCCACAGGATGTGCACCAGCCACTACCTGGACCTGTTCATCACCATCGTGATTGGGCTTAACGTCATCACCATGTCCATGGAGCACTACGAGCAGCCACAGGTCAGACCATCAACACCTAAAAAGTTTTTCTGCCTACACACGTTGTTACATCTTTTTTGATGTATTACAACCTGAAGATAGAGTGACAGATCCTGCCAAGAGAAGGGGGGGATTTATTTAATAAGTAGAGCCTTTTCAAATTCAAAGTCAAATTTAAAAATACTTTATTAATCTCAGAGGGAAATTAAATGTTGTTGTAACTCATCATCCTGGTTTCATTAAAAAGTTGTTCTAGATGCTGATGGCTGTGGGCAGGAAGGATCTCTTGTCTTACAGTGGATCTGAAGAAGCCTCTGACTGAAGACACTCTGTTGTTGTATGACAGTCTGATGAAGAGGATGCTGAGGGTTGTCTATAATGTTCTTCATTTTATGAAGAATCCTTTGTACAATCATCTCCAAAGGTTCTAGAGGAGTCCCTAGACCTGAGCCAGCCTTCTTTATGAGCTTGTTGATCTTTTTTAAGTCACTTGCTCTGGTGCTGCTCCCCCAGCAGATGATGGCAGAAGAGATGGCACTCTCTACAACAGACTTATAGAAGATATGCAGCATCTTGCTGCAAACACAGAAAGACTTCAGCTTCCTCAAGAAGTACAGTCTGCTCTGTCCCTTCTTGTAGACGGTTTCACTGTTGCATCTCCAATCCAGGTGAACCCCAAGGTATTTATACTTCTCCACCACCTCCACTTCTTCTCCCATTATGGAAATGGGGTTAGACATGTTCCTGTTTCTCCTGAAATCTACAACCATTTCCTTTGTTTTGTTCACATTCAAGATGAGATGATTGTTTCCACATCATGCCACAAAGTGGTCCACCAGTTCCCTGTACTCAGCTTCTTGTCCATCTCTGATACACCCGACTACTGCAGAGTCATCAGAATATTTCTGCAGATGACAGGAGTCTGTTTTGTACTGAAAATCTGAGGTGTACAGAGTGAAAAGGAATGGTGAGAGTACAGTCCCCTGTGGTACTCCTGAGCTACTGACCACCTGATTAGACACGCAACCCTTAAGTCTCACAAACTGTGGTCTGTTTGTCAGGTAGTCTTTGATCCAGGTGATTATTGAGGCCTCCACCTGAGTCTTCTGAAGTTTCTGACAAAGCAAATCAGGCTGGATTGTGTTAAATGCACTGGAGAAATCAAAGAACATGACTCTCACAGTGCTGTCTGCTTTTTCTAGATGACAGTGAGTTACAGCAGCAGGTCTTTTCAGTTATGTTATGACTCCATGCTCTTGGTTCATCTAATCAGTGGAAAGTTTCACATTCTTTATAATAAAACTGCTCCTTCAGGTTGGATGGGTGCTGCTTGTTTACAAAATATTTTATTATTCCCAGTTGAATTGAGCATTCCAGGACAATTAACTTTTAATCAACAGTCTTTAAACCGCTGGAGTGTTGCTTCAGTTTCTTTAGGATTATTGTCCAGCTGAAAGGTGACCTCAGAATTCTTCTTTCAGCTGTTCCCTCTTCAGAGGTTGGCACAGTGAGTTGTCCTTTGTCTCACTCTGTCCTCTGTGTCCTCTGTCCTCACTCCATCTATCTATATATCTCCTCTTTGCCCTCTCAAGAAATTCTTTTTATGCTAATCTTTGCATTTTTTCTTCTAGTCTGACCAGTTTTCCAACACTACAGGTAATCCCCTACCCCCACATTATGATGCTGCCACCACCGTACTTCACTAGGAGAATAGTAATCTCAACATGATCAGAGATTTTAGATTTGGTTGTGCTTGATGGACAATATGTTCATTTGTGTTGTCTGGCCACTGTCCTGGCTTCTTGTGGCCTCTGTCCAGTGAAGCCCAGCTTGGTGCAGATCATGGTGGTCTTCAGGACAAAAACTCTTATCTCTACAAAAGAGATGCTCAACTCTGTTAGTTATTTTTGGCCCTTTGGTTGCTTCACTGATTAATGCCCTCCTTGTCTGGTTTGTTTTGGTGCACAGCTCTCTGTTGTCAGGTTATCTGGGCATAAAATCATTCCGTTTTCTAGATTTAAATTTAATCTCACTTTTTCTTGTTTCCTCAGCTTCGTCTCTAACCTGTGAGAAGGGTTCCTTGGTCTTCATGCTGTTTGTTACTTGGTGGCAGACCTTACAACATAGAGATGTTGAATTGGTGTTGATTCTGGGCACTATTGGACTGGCTGTATATCATTGACAAAAAAAAAAAAAAACACACACACACACACACACTTACATTTTATTAAACTAATTATGCAGCTTCTAAAGGTTTTTTGTCAAGGTTTCAAAGAAAAGGGTGTAAATACACATGAACACAAATTTTCAGATATAACATAAAAAACGTGCGCTGTATCCTACGTAACTTCAATAATATGGAGTATATGGTGTTCATTGAACCTTTATTTACACAGATAAATCACATTGAGCCTTGGAGACTCATTTACAATTGAGATCTAGTGTATTTAGACAGACAAAAAGTAATGAAAGTGACACGTATAGTATATTCATTATTTAATATCAGATGAAAATTAATTTCAGCTACATGGATACCAAAGGGGGGTAAATATTTTAGCAACCCATTGTATGTGTCACTTGTTTGACTCTCACTATGAAATATTCTTAAACTGTGACGCTGTTGACTTTATACTGTTTGACTGATGTCCTGTAAAATTCTTCGACTGTATGGAAAAAAGTAATTTGTAACATTGTTCAACTTTTAGTTCTACAAAGATCTAAGTCCGTAATAATCGTTATTATGATCAGAAGGTTTCATTTTTTAAGTTCTGAATGTTTTTGGTAAACATTATGGAAAAACTGGCAAGAAAAGCTACTGAGAACCGAAAGTCTAAGCAATAAAGTTGGAAACTTAATAAAAGGAAAATTGGCCTCAAAACAGATTCTTAAAACTGTAAAGAGTTAGCACTTTTAAAAGTTCTTAGAAACATTAGTATCTACATTGATCTTCAACAGTTTATGTGATTGGAATGATTTTATTTATTTTTTTTTGAAGTCCAGAAGACGTCAGTAAACATTGTCAGGTATTACTCATTCTCTTTAAAAAAATATGAGCAGGAATATGAATGCCTGGCAGGAACAGCTACCAAGAGCCTAAGGATAGAACGAGTCTCACTAAAATCAGTGAAACAGAATTCATATTAAAATATATGCAGTATTTTCCAACAATTTTCAGTCAGGTCATCTGGACAGTTTCCTTTTGTGCTGAAACATTTCACCTTCCATCCGGAAGGCTTCATCAGTCAAGGAAACACACAACACAAAACTGATTCTTCCCCCAAATAGCTTACTCCAAAGTGAAACAAACCAGTTATGTTGGTGCTAAGATGGTCTCTTTGGTACGCCCCCTCCTCCATTGCCGGCCCTCTTCCTTGTTGACAGTCGTGTCAAACTGGTTGAAAACAACAAAGTCCATGCTCAATAATCCAGGTATAAAATCCAATATTTTTCAGTCAGGTCATCTGGACAGTTTCTTTTTTTGGGCTGAAACGTTTCGCCTTCGATCCGAAAGGCTTCATCAGTCAAGGAAACAACAGTCAAGGAAAGAGACCATCTTAGCACCAACATAACTGGTTTGTTCCACTTTGGAGTAAGCTGTTTGGGGGAAGAATCAGTTTTGTGTTGTGTGTTACCTTGACTGATGAAGCCTTCCAGATGGAAGGTGAAACGTTTCAGCAAAAAAAGGGAACTGTCCAGATGACCTGACTGAAAATTGTTGGATTGTATACCTGGGTTCTTAAGCATGGACTTTTTTTTGGCATGCAGTATTTTATTTTCTGATCACAGATACATGGGATAGAACATGCCTAAGTATTTTTTCCTAAACTTTTTATATAAATATTTGGGGAGTGGTGGTTGAGGGGCTAGGGAAGGTGGGCCTATGATTGGAAGGTCACTGGTTCAACTCCCTGGACCAACAACATCAAAAATGTGGTTGGGAAAGTTGAAACACCCACACCTGCCTCCACCCTCATTTGCCCCTCTCTTGGCCCCTGAGCAAGGCCCTTAACCCCCACCATCTGCTCCCCCAGGATGAGAGGGCAGCTCTCTGTTCCACACAGAGGGCTGCGGTAGCTCGGTGGTCTGTGGTTGCTTCAGGAAGGACATCCGGCTTAAAAAGAATCACGACGTCTTCGTGTGAGTTAGTTCTCTGTGGAGACGCCTGAAGAAGGGAGCAGCCGAAAGAAGGAGATTTTTATATAAATGTTTCAATAAATATTTACTTCCTTTTGGTGTTGTATTGTTGTGCACCATGTGAAACTTCTTGTGGACCTAATGAAACAAATGTGAAATTTTCCATGGAAGTAACTTTTCCAATAAGAAAGTAACTGCATGGTGATAACAGATACTTATTGGATTGTCAATAAATTGTTTTACAGTTAGATTTAGTGGTTGAGCCATATTTTCGCTGGCTAGAAAAAGCTCATTTAAAGCACAAGACACAATGATAAAGGAGTTGATAAGATGCAATGTTGTTTTTTGGAATGATAATGTAGAGAAAACTTTTTGGTGTGAGATATGGTAGATTCACAGATTGATGGGTTGTGGGGCTGATACCTGTGTAGTATGACATATGCAGGATATATTCATACATTTCGCGAGTTCTTCATTTTTCTGACTGTGTAAATGTCGTGCATTGAATTTAACAGAAACGTAACGAGAGACGTTATTTACCTTTGACCCATCAAAATGAATGCGGTCATTTATTTGCAGAATCAAAGTTTAACATCAAACATTTACATCAATTTGGCAAAATATGAAAACAATAACATGGCTAGTTTCACAGAAAGTGGGCACAATACGGCGATTGTCCTCACTTCTCAGCAGAACAGCAGACATCAATCACACGGCGGTGATTGAGAACTTTGCTTCAGATATTTCTAAAATATCTGTAATGATTTTAGGAGAAAGGAGAGTTTAAGATGAAAAATGGAGATTTATCTTACAGAGAGATGTGTGAGGGAATTAATCTGTTTGACCAGAAACGTGCACGCTCCTTCAGTTCTCAGCTTGGTCACGGTACGCTTGGTCGAAGTAGAACTTTTACCTGGTTGATGATAGGTCAGCGTCGGTATAGAATCCTTCCTTTGACTCTTTCAGCGTCTCCGTTGAGAACAGCTAAAATACTTCGAGAGTCGTGCGAGGTTATCCAAACAGAAGTTATAATTCCCAAAATCGTCACTGCATTCTGGCTTCCAATAGAAGCATTCTGGACGCCTGCGTTAGCATCCAAGAACTCTGAACTCTTTAACTCTCTTCAGAGAGTTAAAGTCTGGACCTCTTCTCCAGGAAAAACTTTCAAGCTCTGAAAACTCCCATGTTGAACTCATTCTAGAGCGCAGCAGCCGACTGAACTGGGAAGTTGCCACATTTAAATGGGTCGACTTCCGGTTCATTTGAGAGCTTTTTGATTGGTCGATGGACCAGAAAGAGGTGTGGTTTGTGATGTAAGGTGTTATGAAAAGTCAAGGATTGTTTTAGTGACAGACAGAAAGATTATTGGAGAACTTCAGACTTCGTGGAGTCTCTACTCCTATTATCTGCTGTAAAAGTTAAACATGACATTTTTTTTTCAGTAAACTTTTAGTTGACCGAAACTTGAACTTTAACACACACTTACAAAACTTGCTCATTGAAGACAGAAAAATCAAGAAATGCATATTAACCTGATTTCTTCTTAGAATGAGGAATAAAAATCATTACTTACTGTTTATGTAAATAAAAAATGAGTAGTTCTCTTCAACCTGTAAACATTGAGTGAACTAACACAATTTGATTATCAAACATTTGTAAAATAGTAATGATCATAGAGAATTGTCTTTTCTACTTGATTAATTCAAGAAAGAAAGTCTCCGGATGGGTCAAACTGTATTTCTGGATGCAGATCAATGAAATAACAGTTTCTGTCCATCTGGTCAGATTTGACATCAGATCAAGTTCACTACACCTGTATACTTTTACAATTTTGCTTTTTTGTAGTTACAAAGTCTGGACTGTCAAGTCAAATTTATTTATAAAGCACATTTAAAACAGCAACTGTTACCAAAGTGCTTGGTACACAGTGACTGTGTTGAACTGAGCTACAGTGGGTTGCAAATGTATTCACCTCTCATGGTATGCTCTGTATTTTGTTGCCTTACAACCTAAAATTTATTCATATTTTCAATTCAAATAATAAGGAAATAAATCTACATAAAACACTTAAAATGGAGTAAAAGTGTTGTGTGCATATGTATTCACACCCCTTGCTTTAAAACCCCAACCATCACCTTTAGAAGGCACATAATTAGTTAGATTACATGCACCTGTGGACAATCTATGAAGCATATGTTGTGATAATGTGCTTTCTTGGGTTTTGTATTGTGTTTTTCCTGTTTATCGTTTTCTGTGCACCACTTTGACCAATAACATTTGTTATTACATGTGCTACATAAATACATTTCAATAGCCCAAAGACTCAAAACCGGTGCAACGCCTCCAAGTAGTAAGATCTACCACCAAGCAAAAGACAGCATGGAAACCAAGGAGCTCTGCACAGGTCAAAGATAAATTGTGAAGAAGTGCAGGTCAATAAACCAATCTAAACCCTGAACATCCCAAGGCATCCCAATAAATCCATTTTTTAGAAAATGGAAAGACCATACCACCACAGTAAACCTGCTAAGAGACGGTTCTCCACTAAAACTCACAAACTGGGTGAGAGGGGCATAAATCACAGCAACATCCAGGAGGTCAAATATATCCAAGAAGGAGCTGAGATATATGTATCAAAGTATAACTATTCAAGGAAACCTGAGTTTTCCAGAGATTTACAACTGGTACAGAAGTCCACCTTCCAGCAGAAGAATAATCCTAAATAGATTGGAAAAGCAACACTAGACATGTTTTAAAGAGAAACAATAAAGTGTGTCCTGAACCATGTCAAAGTCCAGATTTCAATCCAACTGGGAATCTCTGGTATAATTCAAAGACTGTTGGACATGAGTGGCACCATCCAAATGTGTCTGCAGTTTGCTCACGGACAAGGAACACATCTTTCAGTGGTTAGAGCTTATGGAGACATATTGAAAGAAACTACATAGTACTAACTGTGAGGGCTTGAATCTATTTTGTCATGTTTTTTTAAGGGTGGACCCAGGAATACAGGAATGAGGTAATTAAAAACAACCCAGAATTTTATTGTGGAGTCAAAACAAAAGGTTGACGAAGCAGCAAAAACCTCACAACTGAGGTCAGGCACGAAAAGACAGAAAGGACACAAAGAATGTGGCGTAAAATGCTTTGCTGAGTGAACACCGAAGGGTTACACGCGCTGAGGCTGAGGAGCAGATGAGAAACATCTGAGCTAAGTGAAACAAGGAGCAGGTGAGAATGAGCACAGCAGGACTGAGGAGTAGAAAACTGACCGAACAAATGACTGATAATGTCCGGGACACAGGAAGGTGAACAAACTGAACAGCACGAGAAGAGAAAACTCAAAACAGAAATCAAACACTGAAAAGTGATTATCACGAGTCATATGCACACTTAAATATTCTGTTATGTATTTAGAAAATATTGTCAACTAATTTCCCCACATCATCATCAACAATTTGAAAAGGCTTTTGTAGAATCATGTATATTTAAATAAAAAAAAAAGGTAAATATCAGGTTGTGTGGGAACAAAATGGAAAAAATCACCAGAGATAAATGGACTTCATGAACTGATCAAACACAGATGGGTAAAATGTTTAGAAGTACAATTAATAAATCTTGTGCAGAATTGTATGAGCGGATAAAGTTTTTATTAACAATCTCGTGAAAAGCTGTGTGGCAGATAAAAGGATTTTGGTTGCATTTTTTTTTTTTCTGAACAGTGAGAAAGTTGAATAGATTGTTGGATAAAGCAGCAAATTAAAGACAAGAACGAGCTAACAACCTCTGAGGGATCAGTTAAATCCCTGTTGACCAACAGTCAGGGGCGATTCTAGGCTCTGCCCTTTAGGGGTGCTTAGCCCCGAGTACTGCTCTTGGCTTGAACAGCACACCCCATGGTGAAGTTTGTGAGAAGTGTAAAAGATTACAGCACTTGATATTCCCAGGCGGTCTCCCATCCAAGTACTAACCAGGCCCGACCCTGCTTAGTTTCCGAGATCAGGGTGGTATAGCCGTAAACGAGGAGCCCAGTCATAAATAGGACTTTTAAAGGATCATAACAAACAAAGAGTAAACTTATGCAACCAGAAGTTACAACATATATCTACACACAAAACACACAAAACAAAACACAACTAGCTTTAAGCATTAACCTTTAATTTAACCATTAACCAATGACTGCAAAGTGTTTGTAATGCAAAACCCGGACAAAGTTGTCGGAGGAAAAGGAGGTAACAGGACTGAACGACAGGTAACAGGACTGAACGACAGGTAACAGGACTGAACAACAGGTAGGACTGAACGACAGGTCACAGGACTGAACGACAGGTCACAGGACTGAACGACAGGTAACAGGACTGAACGACAGGTAACAGGACTGAACAACAGGTAACAGGACTGAACAACAGGTAGGACTGAACAACAGGTAATAGGACTGAACAACAGGTAATAGGACTGAACAACAGGTAATAGGACTGAACAACAGGTACAGGCCTGAAAGTAACAGGACTGAGTTTTTAGCATAAAGTATGCAAATACATGAAATATAGCCACATGGCATCTTTGCTAATAGCATGAAGCAACTGAGCGCATTCTAGTGATTTACTTAAATAAAAATAAAAATTAATTAACAAATGAAAACAAAGATATAATTTAGGTAACGAGAGTATGATGAGATTGACCTTTTTTGCCATAATTGAAACATAATCAAATTTACATAAAAATAAATGGAATAATTTACTTTTGGTCTTCCCATGACTTTTAGAAGGTCAAACTGATGAAACTTCATGTTGACCATGTGACTTCTGGATTGTTCCAAATTTTTCAAATAGGCTAATATGTTATGGACTGAGTGAAAACCAAGGGACACAACTAAAATATGTATTTTAACAAAAATAAAATAGATTTATTTTGAAAATAATATATATAGACCATAAATGGGATTAGCAGTCACACAAAAAAAAAACAAAAAAAACAGTTCTTTAGGATTTTCTTTACTATGTTTTATTGTAAAGTGTAAGGTTACAGAGGACAGGTGACAAAAGCTGTTTATTCAGTATTCTTGGTAGTTTTTAATAATCATCTTTATCAGGTATCTTAAATTTGCTATTGGATCACATGCAGGACATTTTCTTTCATAAGAAAATACATTTTGCAGCTCATTTTTATACACATTTATAGATATAATTTAAGGGGGACGTAAAAGGCACCCATTCGATGGAATGACCCTTATAATTTATTCCATATTTAATTCAAATTTATTCAATATTTTGGTGAAGAACTGAGCTTTACAAAATCCTACAGATGGTTTCTTTAAATTTTAACTCAGCACCCCTGAAAAATAGAGGTGCTTGAATGAGCACCCCAAAAAAGAGGCTAAAATAACCACTGCAAACAGTACTTTCTACTTTTCATTGCTAAATGTCAAGTTTTTACATGCAGATGGAGCTGTAAATTCACCCAGAGGCAAAAAACAAAAGATATTCTGTTTCCTAAGGCCTTTTCAATGAGAATGAGTTTGACAAAAAAATGAAAGATGGTCGATAAAAAACGACTCACTGTGAATAAAAAGGACATTTAGTACTATAAACTCTAAAATATATTGTTAAAAACTTAAAAACATGGAAATGTTTATTAAAAACAGGTACAAATGAATACATATCATAGCTAAGCATTTATTGGAACTGAACCAGGTTTGAATGGGTCAAATGTGAGAAAGAAGCTATTAGAGTAATTCAATTAAAGCTACGGCTCTTTTTTATGGTAACCTAAAATATATTAAAATAATGTTTGTTTGTTTTTCTGCCTTTTTTGAATTCTCCTTCCAGGAGCTGGACGATGCACTGAAGATCTGCAACTACATCTTCACTCTTATCTTTGTTTTGGAGTCTGTCTTCAAGTTGGTGGCGTTCGGTTTCCGTCGCTTCTTCAAGGACAAGTCAGTGTTTAAACCAGCCAAACAAGACCTCATGCCTTTAACCACACGACTTTGACACAAACTAATAGTTAAATGTGGGTTGAAACATTTGATTGGCTCTGATCCTGGCTGCTGAAGGTGCCGTTCTTTAACCTCAGAGTCTTGTGGAAAATCTGAGGCGGTGCTCTGTGAGCCTATATGAGCTTTCTTATGGCCTCAGCTGCTGCAGAGAACGTTTCTCTGTGGGACCTGCATGAATACAAACGGGCTCGTTAAGCACCCATAAAACACGACCGCCTCACATGATTTCATAGTTTTGAAATCCCTGGCTTCCTTCTGAAAACCACACAGTAATGCACCAACATAATCCCAACTAAGCAAATGTATTCTAGCACACATCACATTAAAAAAACGCACACCTCATACGTTTGGACCACAACTAACCGTCCAGGACTTCATGACGCCCACTGGCTTCACCACACAGACCCGTATCCTGTTTGAGACTGCTGCATAGTTTTTTTTAGCCTAACATTACTTCTTTTACTCTCATATAAACTGACAGGCACAACATTTACCCAATTCCCTCAATTGTAATTTGGATTTATTGAATTTTACCAGAATGTATTGTGTTGATTGGTGCGTTTGGAACATACCAATAAAGAGTTATAGAAAGACAACTATCTGCAGCAGTAACAATGAAAAGCCAAGCCAGGTTACTACGACCAAACTTCATCGTTTTTATTGTTTCCACATTTATTTTTCTTTCACAAGACCTTGCTGTTTTAAACGCCATGCCGTCAAACTGATTGAAACTGATTTTAGGTGACGTATCACAGCTATTCTGAAGGTGAACTTCTCATTTTGAAGTAGATCTATACTAAAGTAGACCCATTTTAAGGATTTGGTTATGGCAAAAGCAAAGCCTCATTACTATACTGATATTTACTTCTTCAGAGCAACATGACTGTTTTCCTGTCCAACAATTTCCTGCGGGATCAATAAAGCTCAATCTTAATGACACAGGGCAATCATTCTGAAGTCCAAATCAAGTTTTAGGTTCTTGCTGTAACTCAGATCTAACTCAAAGTCCAGGTCATGTAATTTTGAGCTATCCAACAAAGTTAAGTCAGGTCCTCTGGACGGATTTGAAAAAAATAATTAAAAACTTGATGAAATATTTCTTTTTTTATCCAGAAGACTTCTTCAGTCTGAGGAGCTACAACAAACTCAGTCTTATAAGCAGCATCTCTTCACAGTGGATCAACCAGTTTGATTGTGACATCATGAACTAGCTGTTCATATGATAAAGGAGGACCATCAGCATACCCAGTTCATCGTTAGTGCCCTGATGGCCACTTGCTATTCACAGAGGGCTGAGTGATGCTAGCAATAACAGCATTGTAAGAGGGGGACAGTTGGACACAGAGTTGTCCCCATCGTACAATCCTGTATCATGCTAGTATCTGTATCATGTACAGTATATTGCTAGTATCACTCAGCCCTCTGTGAATAGCAAGCGGCCATCAGAGCACTAGTGATCAATTGTTGGACTGATGGTCCTCTTTTATCATGTGAACAGCTAGTTCTGGCTGTCAGCAGTAAACTGGTTGATCCGCTATGAAAAGGTGCTATTTATAAGACAGAGGTTGTTGCAGCTTCTTAGACAGAAGAAGTCTTTTGGATAAAAGACGAAACGTTTCAACAAGATTTTTTTTTTTTTTTTCGCTTTTCACGTGTCCAGAGGACCTAACTTAACTTTGTTAAATTGTCCTAACTGGATTATTGAGCATGCATCAGGAGCTAATATGTCCGGACCAAAGCAACAGAAGGGGGGAAACATGGTATTTTTTTGTGCCTTTTGTTCTTGAACCAAACAAATCACACGTGACTCACATTTATCAAACATTTCAGGTAATAAAACCAATTTGTTAGATTCTGATGTGTGCATGTGTGTGTAGGTGGAACCAGCTGGATCTGGCCATTGTGCTGCTGTCCATCATGGGCATTACTCTGGAGGAGATCGAGGTCAACGCTTCTCTGCCCATCAACCCAACCATCATCCGCATCATGAGAGTGCTGAGGATCGCAAGAGGTACGACGCTCGCCTTGCTTTCTCTCTGGCAGTCCATCTTGTCCCATCACTCCTCAGATGCGATCGTACCAAGGCTTCATTCATGGAGCTTTGGCTTTAAAGAACATCGTAAAACAGCCTCATCTCTGGGACTCCCCAATCTGTCATCATTGCATGGCAGATCCCAGCAGGGTTCTGGTCGAGGACGAGCCAACCAGATGGCATATTTGGCTGACAAACAAAGCACAGAGAAGGAATTAAGCAGCAAGAAATTGAAGCTAGTTACAGTGGGAGAAGGGGAATGGTAGGAGAGAAGAAATGCAAGGAGGAAGAATAACATCTGACCTTGATAGCAGTCATATAGAGACAGAAAGATTTCATGAACAGGAGCAGTTGATGTCCGTGAAAAAGGCTGAGCTCAAACAAATAACGAAGTAAACAAATTGTAAATGTGTGAGAAAAACAGACAGAGCAGGGAAGGAGAGGGTATAAGAGAGGAGGACGCTCAGAAACAAGAAAAGTGAAATAAAAAGAAGCCAGGAAAATAACGTAAAGCTGAGTTGATTAAAGTTGACACGTGTCAGAGTAATATTGGTGGGAGAAGACATGAGTGGAGGTGACAAGTGAAAGAGAAGGCAGGGAAGTCAGAGAGGAAGCTCATCTGCTTTGTTTTATTGTAAAATAAGTAGAATGTAAGAGTTTCATCACTTCCATACTTCCTTCAGAAGTGCACGTGTCTCGTCATGTGTACGACACAGTAAATCCACTGAATTAATATGGTTTAAGAGTTTTTTTTAATGTTTTTAACCATTCCAATATACAACAATAAAAACCAGTTAAAACAAAAATGTTATAAAAACACTTTTACTATTAGCGGCATGGTCCTGATAGCAGAGTGGTTCTGTTAGCGGTGTGGTCTTGTTTACAATGTGGTCCTGTTAGCAGTGTAGTTCTGTTAGCAGCATGGTGCTGTTAGCAGTGTAGTTATGTTAGCATTGTGGTCCTGTTAGCAGTGAGGTTCTGTTAGTAGTATTGTCCTGTTAGCAGTATGGTCATGTTAACAGTGTGGTCGTGTTAGCAGCATGGTGCTGTTAGCAGCATGGTACTGTTAGCAGTGTGGTCCTGTTAGCAGCTTGTTTCTGTTAGCAGTGAGGTTATGTTAGCAGTATTGTCCTGTTAGCAGTATGGTCCTGTTAGCAGCATGGTCCTGTTAGCAGCATGGTCCTGTTAGCAGAGTGGTTCTGTTAGCAGAACGGTCCTGTTAACAGCATGGTTCTGTTAGCAGTGTGGTCCTGTTAGCAATGTAGTCCTGTTAGCAGCATGGTCCTGTTAGCAATGTGGCCCTGTTAGTAGCATGGTTCTGTTAGCGGTGTGGTCCTGTTAACAATGTAGTCATGTTAGCAGCATGGTCCTGTTAGCAATGTGGTCATGTTAGTAGCATGGTTCAGTTAGCTGTGTGGTCCTGTTAGCAGCACAGTCCTGTTAGCAGCATGGTTCTGTTAGAAGTGTGGTCTTGTTAGCAGTGCAGCCCTGTTAGCAGAGTGGTTCTGTTAGCAGAGCAGTCCTGTTAACAGCATGGTTCTGTTAGCAGTCTGGTTCTATTAGCAGTGTGGTCCTGTTAGCAGTGCGGTCCTGTTAGTAGCATGGTCCTGTTAGCAG